GTCGTTTCCTACTGGTGATAAGGCAGAGAGGCGTCATGCAGTGGCTTGTCAGTTCAACTAACCCCCCCCCCGCCGTGTTCCCTAGGGCCAGGTCAAGCACACGCTGCCGGCCTTCACCGAGATGCGGCGTGTGAAAGCGACTAAGAGCCTGGAAGCCGTGTTCGCAAGACACGGCTTTTCGCCCTCCGACTTCCCGCATCCAGCGCAGCCACATAAGGCCAACGTCAGCATGGCGTCAGAGCCGCAGGCTTTGAAACCACTCGCGTTGGCCCAAAGGGATGCCCCGAGGCCGGTGTCAGTTGCGGCAGTTGAGCGGCAGGAGAGCCAGCCGGTCCCAACGGCGCCCAGACCAGGCAGTGTCAAAAAGGCTGTCCTGCCGCCAGCAGACAAATCGGGCGGCACCAAGAAGCACAAGGCTGGGGCCCTGCCGTCCCAGTCATTTCCCAAGAAAGCCGCGTAGCTGCCGCGCGGTGGTTGAGGTAGATGTTGCAACGCGAGTAAGGGCCCAGGGGGACTGAGCAGTGTACATTGGTATTGGCAGGGAGCAGCAACTTATTAATCCATTTGCTGCAATCTTGCACTGTAAAAGCAGCCTTGCATTTCTAGGAAGGGCATGTGCGGCTATTGACCCTGTGCTTGTGTGTTTTGATGGAGAGCAAGTTTGGTAGGCAGTGGAGGAGTTCCATGGGGCGAGCAGCACAGTCAGGGATGCTGAAAGGAAGCAACACAACCATAGTGTGGTTAGTAAGCAGTCTTTTTAACGCTGCAAGTCCTCTTGGAATCCATTCCGAAAAATTAATGAGGCTGAGCTGCTCAAAACGGTCAATGTGTGCCCCCACCTCAGCAGCAGGCACACCAAGAGTTGCTCTCCAGAATATAGCTGACGAAGAATTTGTCTTTAACAGAAAGAAGCATGCCATGCATTCTCCAGTGAAAGAAGCAGGCCATTGTGCATTGGACAGATCACCTTTTGTTAAGCAACGACGACGAGCATATTTCCACACTGCTTCATTTTTCCACAGCAGAATGTCACCATGGAGAGCAGTCCTTTCCAAACCTGCTGCACAGCAAATCATGACTGGATGGTGGTCAACGACAAGTTTCCCACACAGCACTGTGGACAGAGCGGGATTCCAGGATGTCAGGTGTGCCTCACACTGGTGTCAAGTTGCAGCATTGCCTTGATCAGAAAGTAGCATAAAGCATTGGTACTGTTCGAGTCCCAATGCAGGAGGCTCTTGCGCTAAAATTTAAAATTTGACAAATTCTTGACTTTTCTTGAGTCCATGCACTTGCAAGGTAGCAATCATATTACCCTGTGCATTGTCACCATTCATGCACAGCCAGTCAAAGGCAGCTACTTGCACACACATATCTGCTGTTCCATGACTACACATCTGGTTATGGAACCAGTGTTGCCGAATTCACATATTTCGCTGGTTTGGCTCTCCCAAATTGGTGAGCAACCCCCAATCGATTGATGTATTTATCAGCACCTGCAGAATTATTGCTTCAATCTTTTCTGATGTCACGATCACATTGCATTTGAAGTTGTCCATGGAATGATGGGCTTTCACATTGTTTTGGTAGAAGAAGCCAGCTGCCAAACTATGGATAGCAATAGAAATACGCAGCCTCAAGATTGAATGCCTTCATCAGGGGCAAGCAGCCTTTATTCAGTTTCAAAATGGGAACCCTGCCATGTGTTTCTGCTGACCTTGCTGTACTGAGTACTCTCCACAATACTGGGTTGATATTAAGCCAACATGATGGTCCAGAATGGGCTCGAAGCTACAAAGAGCATCAGGAGTATAGCGATGCCCCTGGCAACTCTGCAGTCCTGGAGCAACTGCGCGAACTCCACCACAACAGCCGTATCCTGGCACCACACAAGGGAGGCCATGGCTTACACCTCTGAGCCTGAAGGATGTCTCTTAAGGTGGAAGATTTGTTCTTGAGGAAGCCCAGGATCGACTGTCCAGGGAACTTGTTATGGCCACAAGCCCCACCGAGCCATACACAGTCTGGAAAACCCCTCTATGCAAATTTCAGAACGGAATTCTCAGATTGAAGCTCCTATGACATGTGATATGTCATGCCGTCATCACTGTCATCAATACTACAGTCCCAGCCCTGACAACCAGCTGGAGATCAGGGTCTTGGCACGGGGTGGTCCATCTTTTGCTCAAGTTCTCCAAGGCCAGCAGCCCTTCAAGGCCAGCTTGGGACACCAGTGCTGCGGGCGTCACGCTCCCAGGCCTGAATAGCGGCGGGATATCTCTCGCCACAGCCAATCCACCGGGCGCTGCCTTCCCGCCCGCACACACGATACCCGACACTCGACCATCTCTCCACTGGATGCAACCGCTCATCAGCTGCAGCCGTTGAAGTGGTGTTCGTGTGTCGGAGATAATGTCTGAACGTGATTATCGCCGATGATTTATTGTCTCCTTCCCCCCACCCCCACCCGCCAGCATCGCCGCCCATCGCGGCCTGCCCAAGCCGCTCGCGGACCCTTCGGGGCCACGGACACCACTGCGTCCGCAACACAAATCCTTCGGAGGCAACAATGAACGACATCACTCCACAATGGCACCATCTTGTACCGTGAGGCCAAGTGCAATCCGCGGAGCCTGCCCCCAATCCGTCGCAGAGGCGATGCACAAGAGGACCGCGATGCGGTGCGAATTCCGTAGCTAACATTTGTCCAAAACACACGGCAAACCACGGCCTTGGGAGGCGGTGACGGGCAGGCCGTGGGCGGCGCCTGGAGTGGAGGTAAGAACGCATCCTCCCCCCCAGGGCACTTCGGGCGCACGAAGTAAACGCAGCGGCACACGCGCAAACAGGACGCCCCGAGGAAAGCAGAGCCACTCCGCTCCGAATGATCTGCGCCGCTGGATCCACGCTGCACGAGCTTCGAGCACAAAACGGGACCTCTGAGCTCGAATGGGCTCCTCCAAACAATCAGCAGCGCGGGATCCACACTACACGACCTTCGAGAACGAAGCAGGGCCTCCGAACTTGCAGTAGCGCCTCCTAACAATCAGCACCACGGGGTCCACACTGCAACAAATTCGATTGCGAAATGGGGCCGCCCAGCCTGAAATAGCGCCTCCGAACAATCGGCAACGGTGGATCCGCACTGCGAGCACTTGGAGCACGAAATAGGCCCTCCGAGCGACGGAGGCAGAGCGCGTCAGAGACCACTCGGCACGTGTCGGCCGCCAAAAGACGACCCAAGCGCCACTGCACATCAACGCGCGCACACTTGCTCAGCAGGTTGTGCCCTTACTCTTCCCCTTCGCCAAGATTCTTGCGCCAACCCGCAGTCCCCAACCGGGAGCAAAGAGGCGGGCAGGGTGCCCGCCGCGTTTCTGTCATCTGGCGCCAAAACCCGCCAAGCGACAGCCAGCGCGACCATTCCCGTCGGGGTACCAGTACTTTAGGCAGTTTAGGCATAAAAGCGCCAGTACTTTAGCGGCGGCCAAACGCATTTCCGATCCGAGGCGGCGGGAATTTGACCCCCGAGCGCGGGCGGGCGAGCGACGAGCCCGGAGGCTGCGGCACGACGCGCGGAAGGGACCCGAGGGGAGGACGCGCGGCGCGGCTGCGCGGCGGGGGCCAATCTGGCGGGCCGCGCTAATCAGGCCGCCTCGCGCGGCTGGCCTGGGGATCACGACCCTGGCCAGGGCGGCGCCCCGCCCACGTCGGCGGGTGAGGGAGAGTTTTGTTTTTCGCAGCGCGCGTCGGCGCGGCCATCGAAGGGCGAGCGGAGACGGTCGAGCCGACTTGGGGCGCGGGGGATCCTTTTGGCGGCCCCCAAGGGGTTGTTTGTCGCGATTGTGCTGGGCGGCTAGTGGCCACGTGGACGGTGGCATGGTGGCTGAGCCGCGGGGAGCGGGGTTGTTGAGAGTGTGCTTGGGTGGACACGGGACGCCATCGGGGTTGCCCGCCAATTTTCTCTCGCACTGCGTCGTTGTTGTCGAAAATCGGTCGGTTTGCGTCGTCCATCGCGTGCAGTGCGGGCGCGGTGGCTTTGGTGTCGAACTCGGGGTGGCCGTCGCCGACTCCGTCCTGTTTCTGTCTGATCCTGGTCTGCAGCCAATTGAAACTTTGCATCCTGATCTTGCTGTTTCCATTTTCGATTGCGGCGCCGGCTTTGCGCCCCACCCGACTTCCGCCTCCCAGCCCCTCTTGTATCCGCGTGGAACACATTCATCTGATTTGGCGAAGGACTGCACCAATTGGGCGACCTTGTGGGGAAACCAGCCCCACGCCTTTGCTCAGAGCGATTATTTCTGAAGAGCTGCTGGCAAGCAGGCGCCTGTCGTACTGGGTAGCAATTGTCTCCGTGCGACTTTCTCCAACCTTCACGTTTTCATTCGTGGCAATCCCCTCGTTTTGGCCAAAGCATCGAATAATTTTCCTAACCGGCATTCAATGCGTTGATGATGCGTGGCCATCAAAAGCACAAAGAGAGCTTTGAATCTCGCACCGAGTGCAGGAGTCGGTTGAGCATGTTGCTGGCGGGGAATATTATCAGGAGATGCACTGCTTCCAACAAGAAGTGCAGATCATGCCTCATGTGTGTTTTTTGAAGGCGCCTGCTTGTCGTATTTTGAACAGGTGTCTCACTACTGTAGTATGGCACACCAGCGGGGATCAAAGTCTCTGTACAGACAATGCATTCCCAGTACACAACTCACCATTGAAAAATACGGAACAACTTGTAATGTTTTAACGAGAAATAGGCACAAGAACAAATGACAATAGGCCAAGAAGATACTGCTGTCTGCATTTGTCAGCAGTTGAGGGGCTCTTGTGCATATCTTCGAACTAAGCACTTCTGGCAAATAGCTACCAGGCTCTGTGTTTTCTCCAATAATTGGGCCCCAAAGGCAACAAACTCCAGTAGGCTACCCCACTGCAGCCTGGCATTCTGCCTTCAATATCATATGCTAATAACATGTGAATTTGATCTGGCTTTAGGGTACCCCATGGCTGTCCTCTATGGCAAAGAGGAGCATGTCAACAAGGACATGCGGGAGATAGGGGGCCAGGCTGTGTGGTCAGTGACCAGCGCAAAGCCAGGCAATGGAGTGGAGTTGCTGAGGGATGGGAAGAGTGACACATACTGGCAGTAAGTTTGACTTCCCAAAGGCACCAATCCATTTCCCCATAGTTGTGACAATCTTCAGAGGATTGATGGCTGGCTTGAAATCACCCCCATCCCCTGCAGGCATGGCGACTGGAACATATGGATTTGTGTTGAAAGGGCTCTGTTGTGCCACTTCTGCAACTGTGGTCTTGGACTCTGGATCAATGTTGCCAAGGACAAAAAGGAGTCAAGACCACATCAATTGGGGGCCATTTAGCGGCTTGTGTATGTTTGGGTTTATTACTACTGGAAGCCATCAGTAGTTGCATGCACGCATGTTAGACATGTATTAGAGATACTGCAGTTCACAGGTTGTGGATGCTTCCTGTTTGATTCTGTACTGCTGGAGGTCTTTGATCTGTACCCATGATTCCAATTACCAAGATTGCTGTTCTCAATAGCCCCAGAGCAAACGGTGACCTTGTTGTCAGGCAATGCTGTTCACTGTATTCCAGCACGTTGAGTTCAATGCACATCAAAGCCTGTGTGTGCATGCTGCAGATCTGACGGCACTCAGCCACATCTGGTCAACATGCAGTTTCAAAAGAAGATGCTGGTGCAGGCATGAGAACTGATGATTTCCAAGTGCAATCATCTGACTGCTCAGGGTGGTCAAGAAGTTGAATAGATTGTACACGATCCACTTGGCCCTCGCCAAAACAACAAAACTCTCACCACAACAACAAATACATGTGTGGCTTACATGTGCACTCAGTTCTTTTTGTGTCAAGGATAGCCATTGCCAGTGTTGATTTTCCTTGTGGTGAGCTGCATGATCCCAATTGTGGCAAATGCTGAGGCATCACATTAGTCTGTGTAGGCTTGTGCTGGGCCTCAATAACTGCTCTTCCCTTCAGCACTAAAAGGAGGGCACCCACATAGGTGCACCCACATAGGTGTGGAACAAAGCAGGTTGAACATATCATCAATCACGTTGGCCTGCTCACAGCTCAGCGATGTCCTTGCACGCAGAAGATAACAATGGGCTCTCACAGATACATCATTTTTGCCTTGTCCCCATATATTCACCTCTCTGTGTGCACCCCTTTGTACCAGGCGTGTGTAACCTATCAATCAACAGTGGTGTAGGTTGCTGTGTGTTGTCAACACTGTGATTTCAAGCTGCCGGGAGCTGGCTGTGTGCCTCCACGACTCTTTTTCCATTCCTATTTCCATTCCCGAACTGCAAATTTCAGCTTGGAAGTTCAGGCTTGAGTAGCCTGATCTTCCAAGAGTAGCCTGTGGCCACCTCTGTTGTGCAATGATGCTGTAGCATGAGCTTATGCCCGTGACCCTTTGTTGTGCCAGCGATGTTGCTTAATTTTGCACCTGCCTGTTCACCTCAGGAGCTGCATCTGTATCTGGATTTCAAACTTGACGAGAGCTACACCCCAAACAAGATTGCCATACGGGCTGGCAATAGCTACTACGATTTGAAGGCAAGGGCACCGTCGACCTGAGAAACATTTGTGCGATCCAAGTTGTCTCTCAACCTTTGCCTTGTTGGCATCGCCAGTAAGCTCGGTTTGAGCTTTTATACATACCTGGAGGGTAATATATGGCATCTTTCATGTCAGTATGTTTGTGCCCAATGTGCTGCTGTTGTCCGATTTCCCCAGTTCTCCAGTTACACAGGTGTGCCCCTTGCTTGACTATGAATCTATGGAGATAATTAATGTATGGAAGAGCAACAATTTTGCCATGTTAGGCGAATGCTGGCAAAGCAGATTGAGCCGTTCGATTGCAAATGTATTTATTTTCTGAGTTTGCTGGAGACACCCTAGCCTGAGCCCTTCCCCAAGTGTGGGATTGAATGCTGTCCTTTGGACACCCTTCACGACTGCAGGCCTGCAACTCTCAATCTTGGTCCATTTCTTCATGCAGGAAATCATGCAAATTGATCTGGAAGAACCCCAGGGCTGGGTGAACATCCCCCTGTCGATGGAGGAGACTGGAGACTGCCTCAAGGCCTTGCTGTTGCAGATTGCCGTCCTGTCCAACCACCAGAACGGGCGGGACACACACATAAGGCAGATCAAGGTGTATGGCCCCAGGGTGGACCCCATCAAGGCCCTAGGCTTCCCGATCAACTTCACCTCCAAAGAAATAATGAGCGTCGCGTATGTACGGTGAAAACTTGCGTGATGGGAAATATTCCTGCTGAATTGGAAGGGGGGAGTTTGGGAAATCATGTGAGGAACATTCTTGGCGAACTGGGGGGGAGGGTGGGTGCTTGCAAACTTGTATGATGTATGACCAGGCAGCAAGTAGAACTAAAATAGCGCCAGGTACTGAGGTTAGAGTGTTGTTATGAAGGACGTTGTGGAAACAGCTTGAGTTGCGTTAGTTTTGGTTTGCGAGGGATTGGGGCCGACCCTCACTGCTTTGCAATGGTGCTCGCCCTGTCTGGCGAGTGCGCACTGAACGTTGGCAATCACCAGCGAGGTGGAACGAGTTGGCTGCAGCCATCAAGCGTTCCTCAACGCTGCCAGTTCTCGATGGCCTCTGGGTATCGCGGTTGATGTATTGCCGCATGTGTGACACTGCATTTTTGAATCCCATTTTGTGATGATGTTCGCCCAGCTATATGTGTTAACGAGTACTTAAGTATGTACTTCACCTTCCAGAGCCAGTATAGTGGTGTAAACGCCAACAATGCGTGCATCTACTTGGTGCTACCTAGTGTGCAGCACAGTATGCATTGCTGCATCAGTACGCACCCTCATTGCTTTGTGGAGATCTGCTCACTGCCACTATGAGGACGTCCCATGGAGGTTGCCTTCGCCCCACATCTCGGCGCTTCGGAGTCAGCGAAACACACACCGACTTCAGGCTACACTCTTGTGTTGTGCATATCGCATGGCAACCCCTGACGGCAGAAAGGGCTTGGGCTGTCATGTTTTGACAAACACAGGAATGCAAAAGTCGACCTCAGTGCCGCAAATATCCCCCAAGACACTGTTAGGAACACACGATTAGGCCATCCTTCAGCACCTGGTGCAATACGTATAAACGACTTTCGGCACTTTTGCAAACTGCGAGTTTCACACCGTTGACAGCAGCCGTGCAAAACACACAATTTCGTGCCAATGTTTGCGTACAACTCCCGACGAATACTGTGACAGTAACTGTGCTGACACTGAAACCGAAACATGGTGGCGCCCTACAGTCGTGGTCACCACAATTTTTGCCGCAATATTGTTAACATGCGATGGGGCCAGGCTCCAATTGGAAAGTCGGACGTAGCGCGATGCGATTCGCTGCGCACAAAGACATGTTGACCCTCACCCGCCTTTCTGTACTATAGTTAGTCACTGGAATCAAATTAGGAGGCTGACTAGCAGCGCACCCTACTTGTTACTTTTAGCCTGTCAACGAGTGTAGGCCTGTTCCTTTAATTATGCACTATGTCGTGTCAAATGGGAAGTCTCGTTGAAAGGCAAGGAGCCCCGTTCTGGACGTCTGCCCGCACTCCCTCGTGCCTTTAATGAGGAACTGCCGCCCTTGGTGAGAAGCTCTTGTTCATGAGCTGCACTGCACTGGGCTGACATTCCTTGCATTGCGCATGGAAGCTGCAGCAATCCGTAGCACACTGGGCGCAACAGGGGACTTATAAATACGTAGCGTACATTTGAGCACGATACAATGCACAGGCACGACAAGCGGCGGAAACACACAGCTGGCCTGCTTAAAACGAGGTTTTATCATTATAATCACGAAATTTTAAATTGAGGTTTCATTTCAAGCGAAAAAATAGGACAAAATGGAAGAATGAGGGCAGGATGGAACGGAAGTACTGGAATGAAAAAGGTGCACAAGGAGCCAGCGCCGAAGGCGTCTCCCTCCCTGCTGGCGCTGGCGCCTCTCAGCCCCCCGCACTCCGCCGGCGCCCAGGCTCCCAGGACCGCCGCCCGCCTCCCCGCGAAGGGCCTCCGCCCCCAAGACCACCACCGATCATCCCCCGTTTCCCCCCGCCCACCCCAAATCCCCATCCCTCCACCCCCCTTCGCTACGATGCCAGAAACGGCGAGATTTCGAGATACCCCTCCCGCCCGCTGGCCGCGCCCCGCCCTCCCGCGCTTGTTCCCGGCCGCCACCGCCTGCGCCCTGCTCGCCCTCGCCCTGCTTTGGGATCGATCCGCCCTGCTGGCTTATGTGCGCGCTCTTGGGCCCGCCCTTGGGCCCCCGGGCCCGGTGGCGATCATGGGCTTCGGGCTGGCGCATGCGGTGGCATCGGCCGTGGCGTCGCCGCTGGCGGGGGAGGTGTGTCGCGTGGCGGCGGCCAGGCTGGGATTTGGGTTGGGGTGGGCGGTGGGCATGGCGTCGGGGCTGGCGGGGGGCTGCCTGGCGTTTGCCGCAGGGGGATGGATGTTTGGGGCGGGGACGGAGCTGGAAGGGCGCGTCACTGGGAGTTCCGTGATCCGAAGGTGGGGGTCTGGATTGGCGCGACAGGGACGGGGGCGAGCGGGTGGGAGTGAGCTGTCGAGGGGGGCGTGGCGGGGGAAGGGGGCCGATGCTGTCCCGAGCGGCGAGTTTGGGGGGCGCTGTTGAGGTGGCGCTCCCGGTGGGAAGTGTGGGGGGGCGCGCCTTCTTGAAGCGTTCTGCCGTTTACTCGCGGCTGAAAGCTTCCCTGCCTGTTGCGCTGCGTGATCGGAACCTCTAAGAATGCTGGAGCCTCTCCTGAAGTCATCTTTCGACTCCTGCGTTGTGGCATGTCTAGACTCGAGCCCCAGCGACGCCCATTTCTCAATCCATCCTGCACCGATCCTTCCGCTCCCCAAACCTGCGCCGGCCCCCCGCCCCGCCCCACTCACTATGATCGATCCCTGCCACTCGCTGGCGCGAGCATCCCCTACTGACAGAATCGCCGTCCTCTCATCTCCCATCTTTCCCATTCTCCTTTCAAAGCACAGCGTGCCCTCCATCCCCCGCCCACCGCCCGTCCGGCGTGCCTGCCAAGGTTCCGAGGCCCTGAGCGCGGCGCCGCCACCGTCTTCCTGGCCGGCCTCTCCTTCCTCCCCCCCTCTCTGACGTCGCTCGCCCTCCCCCTCACCGGCATCCGCCTCTGGCCCACGTTCGCCTGCCTGCGGGCCCTCACCCTCCTGCCCTCCGCCACAGCCAACGCCTACTGGGGGGCCCGCGGCGAGGACCCGGGGGCCCATCTCCACGCCTTGGCCGGCATCGCCTCATTGATCGCCACTTTCGCGCTCTTCTGGGAGGCGTGCAGAGGATCCGATCCCGATTCTGGCGAAGGGGCCGGCAGCCACAGTCCGGGATTTGCAACCCCGGGGTGGCGAAGATGGCGATCCGCGGCCGGGTGGAGGTTCACGCCGGGGGGCGCGGGACCGCGGGGGCGGGAGGCTGGGCTGGATGCCTACATGGAGGTGCTGCCAGCGCTCAACCGGTCGGGTGTCAGAAGGGGGTGGGTGGAAGGGTCCAGGGTAGCAGGGGGCGTGATCTGCTACGAGGAGAGGCGGGGCATGCAACGGGGGCCCCCTGGGGATTGGGGAAGGTGGCGGGGATCGGGGGAGAGAGGGGGGATTAGCCCGCGGGACGTGTGGGGATGGGGAAAGGGGAGTTGGGAGGGGTGGGGCGGACCGCTGGACAGGGTGAGCAGGGCGGCTGCGAGGGGGCCTGGGGGGGGTAGGGCGGACAGCTGCTCGTCAAGGTCGAGTCGGTGAGGATGGAGGACGGGAGCTGGGAGTGCACCATGTGGTGGGGAACCCCTCCTGGCCAAAATGATGGGACTCTGTTCCATGCTTTGAAGACTGTGTGGAAGTCTCCAAAGGCAGGGTGAGAACGCATAACATGCACGTGTTGTCACGCGGTGGTATCAACGTTGCGGTCGAGGGGTCGGGGTATCAATAAGTGGAGGTGTGGGTTGACTGATTGGCCGTTGAGAGGGGGAGAAGTGGGGCCACTGTGCAGGAGGGCCGGCAATATTTGATACGCTGTTGCTTGCAAGTGACTGTGGCCTTGGTGTATGGTGATGGCAAGCAGGGCAGCACCAATGAAGTCATGGGGGAGTTTGAGGGCAGACCTTCCAGTCATTTGGCTCTGTTACCCTGCCATTGGCCACAAACGTTCGTGCAACCACATCGGGCTTGTGCACCGTGGGAAGGAAATCAGTGTGGCACTAAACTGGCAGAAGTGTTGTCAACCTCCAAACAAGGCACGGTGTTTGGGGACACATCACCACTGAGCAAGGCAAGCACTGCAGGATGTCTGAATCCATGATCAAAAAGTGGCACAAGATGTCAATACTGGATTCTTGTGCGCATAACTTGACAATTGTCATCTTTCCCCAAAGGGTGTCTGTGCTTCTTCAATGAGATAACCATCATGCTTGGATATATGGCAACTTGAAAACCGTAGCCAATCTCTGATAGTGTTTTGTGTCCCTGTCCTTTCAGCTACAACCACGCATCACAACAGGCCCACGCGATTCAGGATTGGCAGCACCCCACAATTTCTGCTTTGTTTCCTGAAGGTAAATCTAAATGAAGTGAGTCGACAGCATGTAAGAGATGGGGTATGCTGGATACTGGGACAACACACCCAAATTCATTGTGAATCGCACAGTTCTCCCATATCCTGCTTGCTTTCCAGCAAAACCCATCGCATGGTTTAAATTTACTCCCTTTTGCTTACAGGTCCCAGTTCTTTAAAACACACTCAAGAACAACTGAAGGATGCCAAACATTGAGGCCGAGCGATTGCCCAAAACCACTGCCAAGAGCACCCCACACCCTGGCGATGGTTAACCAAGGAAAGCAAAGTCGCCCAATCTCCCACCGTCTTCGAAACGTCCCCTAATCCGCCCTGCCCTCCCCTCCTCAGTCCACGGTCTTGGCCATCGACCCCTTCAGGGCCGCCAGCCGCTCCCTCACCTCTGCAGGTATCTCCTCGTCCTCCCCGTCGCGCCCAGCCTCCCTCCCCTCGCCTCCTTCCCGCCGCCGCCCGGCCCCATCCCCTTCCCTGTGCCGCGGCTGCTTTGCTGGCAGCTCCCCGCCCTCGCCTGTGGGGCCCCGCCTCTTTGACCCAGGCTGTGCCCAAGTAGCCCGGTTGTCCTCCGCCTCGCCGCCCTCCTCCTCCAGAGGGGTGTTCCACCAGATTGGCCCACCAAAGCGGCCGTCGCCAGAGGCGCAGGATATGCAGCCCGTCTGCACATCTGGAGTTATGCGCTGCTGGGGTGCCCGCAGGTGGAGAGGCACGCGGCAGTGGGACGTGGTGCCGAAGTTGTGGTTGCCCTTCTGGATTGCCAGCATGGAGCACAGGATCTCATAGCCAGGCTTGCGCCACTTTGCTATCAGTGGGCCGTCGGCGATTTTCTCTCTGCAGAGATAGTCGAACTGGGACGCACAAACCAGGGTTTCATGAGCTCCGTTGATGCTGTGTTGCGAATTGAGCACACAAGAAAACAGCATCTTTCAGGGGACCATGGATCGATGCAGGTGCAAGAAGACGAGCAGGCAGCCAGCCAGCTTGGAAAAATGTTCGTCTCAAAGTGGAATCCAAAGCTGGGAGAGGTCAGGAAACAGGTTGAATGCACGTGATAGAGTGGCAGTACACAATGATACTGGTTGGTTGGTACTGCCACGGAGTTGTCAGCAATGGCAGCAAAGGCCTCTTCGCTGTTGAATTGGACTGAACTCATGAGCACTGGTTGGAGGATGCGTTTGAAAGACCACCGGTTTGCTTTGAAATCGACAGCAAAGTACAAGTACAGTGACCTGACAACTCAGCCACCCATCGTTCAGACTCAAAACCAACACACATCAACATAAGGTAGTCCTCATTTCTTGCGTGTGCGCCATCCATCTATGGAATATGCGTGACAAACACCGAGGTGCTATGAGCCACACTACAAGAGGAGACAAAAGCATTTGGCAATGGTTTCTTGTCTGGATTGCATGAGGTCGCTGTCACTCACCAGCTCCCTGGACATAACCTTCCTCTGGTACATGAGGTCATATATGAAGCGGTTCTTCTCCCAGTGAATGCGGTGTATCTTGTATGTCAGTTCTGCCTTCCGCTTGCCCTCATGTTCCTCGTTCACTGCCTCTGTCATCTGTTGCTCAAAGTCCTCGATCACGTCCTCTATGAGTTCCCATCCCTCAGGGGGCTTCTTGTTCTTCAGCCTCCTCCGGAAGGACATGGTCCCTGTGGGGTGAGCAAACATTGCTGATACACTGGTTTTGCGCGATTTCTTGTGCAATGAAGGCTGCTCCAACCCCTCAGCATTATCGAATTGAGTCTAAAGAAATCCTGCTTGTAAGACAGGTGCCCATGGTATGGGCTCCTTTCCTCCACTGCCCAAAACTTCTCGCATCAGTGAGAGAGCAGGCGACAGCCACAACGAGCCAAGATCACATCGAAAGCGACTGAATCAGAATGGACCTGTCCAAAACTAGCATGGCCCAAAAAATGGCCCCAATCCTCTGAGCCCCACTTTCCATTCCCGTTTTATCTGACAAGGCAACATAAAATGCACTGGTTGTTGGATAGATTACAGACGGCACTCCCGTTTATGGCAGCTTGGGCTGAGACTGTCCCTGTCTTGCAACCTGGAGAGTTAATGAAGGAGTCTCATTTGGCACCATAGGCAATGACAACCAGTGTTTTTACTCAAACTGGCCAAGACGTTCTCCGACGTGAAAATGGATGTGGAAATCTCATGTACAATAGGACAATCTGGCAATGGCGAAAGCCGCTCTGTCGCACTCGACATTGGCACCAGATGGGATGGCATAGTCCCCGCTGCTCAGCAGCTGGTGCGGGGGCATGGTGCGCCCTGCTGGCTACATGACGTTGGTCCCTGATCAACCCATGCTTGCCGACAAAGATTCAGGCGGTTTGCGTACCTCAGGCAGCTGTGCCCGCGGCCAACAGTCCGAAGCGGGCCTCCAAGCTCGCGCGGAGGGCCTGGCAAGGGGAGGCGCGTCAGGACAGGACACACAGCTTCGCCTCCCGAATCGGTGCGCAAAACGAACTGTGCTTCAGTGGCGCAGCGGGTTTTCCAGCGGGGGCAGCAACCTTGTTGCCGTTTTTAAGCTATGCCAACGTTTAGGTTTAGGCGGCTGTTAAGGTGGCTGCCTTCGATTTGGTTCTGCCCATCATGCGTGGGGCTCGTTTGGGCGCGCAAGTGGTCATACCGTTAGTCATTCAGAGCTTGTGAGAGGCCGCAGCCCCCCTTGTTTTGCACTTGTTCGAATTGCCACAAGGCAGCAGCGACTTTGACCGAGAGCACCACGCTGGGCTCTGTCGTGGAGACTCTCTCGAGCTTCCGGAGGTCCTGCCGAGAGTTTGAGTATGGAGGTCTTTGTCCATTTCGAAGGCACAGGGTGAACGCACGCCACCTTCGACATCCCGGCAAGTCCCGACCGTGTTGCAGTCACTGTTGGGACGCTGGCCCGCTGTTCTGATTGATGCTGCTCTTGCCAGTATGTGGGGCCGGTGAAAGAGAGGGAATGAGTTTCTTCCCATTGGATAGTCCGTGGATGCCAAAGGAGAGCGCATGGTCGGAGTGTGCACCGAGTCGGAATTGCTGGAAGAGGAAACCATTCACCAAATGTCCAGATGTCGGTATCCCAAAGGCGGAAGTTGAGGAAAGAAAAGTTAAATTGGATTGTGATTGAGATTGAGTTGGATTGAGATCAGTCCTGTCCAATTCTCGCAGGGCCTGTTTTGCACAGCAAGTGTCTGATAATCTTGGGCAACAAGGAATCATGCTGCATAACCAAGCCTCTCAGTGTATGCAATTCAAAATTTTCCTTTGCATTCCCAAGTTATGTGAAACAAGGATCATGGAACGATAGAACACTTGTCAAAGAGCCACCAACGCCTTCGAGGTGCTTTGATGTGGGTTCTTCTGTTGACAACAAGTATCCCACAGAATTCCCTGATTCCTTGGATCTGCCAAGTGTGCTGTTGCTTCCAGCTTCGATCTATCTAAGGGGCAGCCAATGTCAAAGCCATTTGAACCCTTGCAGGCTCAAGACAAGCAAAGGATGCAGACGGCAACAGGCTGGCATTGTCCTCTACAGACACGCAAGAGATGCCCATAACAGACTTATAAAAAAATGGACACTCTTTTGAGAAAAATAACCCCTCCTTGGAGAAAAATCAGAGGTTACAAAAAAAATCCTTCTTGTGGAAGCCAATCGCCTCTAATGTCCCAGTCTTGAAAGCCAGTCGCCTGGCTGACAAGTTTGCACGAACATGTTGGATGAAAGCCATGGACTTCTGGCATAACAGATCCTGTGTGAAGTGCATAACTACAATGCATAACCTGAGATCTAAAGTTGACAATTTACATTGTGTGCAGGAACGTGGAGGAACTGGTTCAGGTCAACCTCCAAGGCACCGATAGTATTGCCCGGCTTAAGGTGGAGCTTAAAGCTGAATGGTTTCTTCCCTTGTACCGTAGATCACGGAGGATGGCGCCCCCCCCACGTTCCAAATCATTATTTAGCTTAGTTTTGCACAGCTGAGCACCACAGCAAATTGATGTTTATTGATTGCACTGAACAGATGGTATTCTGTCATCTTTTGCAGCTGGTCGAATTCTCCAATGCCACAAGATTTGGGGTCTGATGATGTATCATTGTCAGCCAGGGTTGTGACGGCGAATCGGATGTATCTGCTCAACCATGGCCTTACGCAATCCCCCAGCACGTGGCATTTAAAAATTCACCATACAAAACAAGTGAAACAATATATCCGAAGAAAATCGCCAGCCCACCCACCCACTGCAACCTAAATTGGATCCACCATCACACTTCCGTAGATTGCCTGCAACTGGTTGATAATGTCAGCAATATCAAATTGATATTGATGATCCGATCTTGGGTTAAATCAATCTCTTGAGAGGTGTGTGCAGTTGTGACTGCAGCAATCATGCTCTAATGTGGCATAGGGCTCAGGAAAGAGACAAAGGCAGACAGTGACATGCCCATCACCATCTCACAGCAAGCAATATTGTAATCCAAGGTTTGGATATCACACATGCATTTAGCTCAACATAGAATGTTAGTGGGCTATACTTCCCTCAAGGCAAAGGAAGCATCCATGACAGTGGCAAACTGTTGGATTGTCAGACTTTGGACTGCCTGATAGTGGCCCTGTTTTTGCAGAAAGTGCCTTGTGTGTGCTTGCATGTTGTATAACACAGTACCATGCTGACAGAGTTGTTGCCATTGTTTGCCTTCAGAAACAACTGGCTCTGCAGTGTGGGATCGATGAAAATCGGATACGCAGGGTAAGGTCCCAATGCTTTCAGAAGTTGCCACTGCTGTTATGCCCTTTTGCTCTTGGAGCAGACTTGTTTTGCTGGTCTGTGACAAAGGCGAATTCTGCCAGAAAGTTGCAATTGTGCTGTTTGTCTTGTTGCATTGTTGTGAACTGGCAACATGTCTTGCTTGGCCTTGGCACCTCACAACCTTCTGTGCAACCACTTCAATATGCCCTCTTCCCTGCTAGCAAAGTCGCTATATGTGGCCAAGGCTAAGCATGCTTTCCTGGGTGTTGGGGTCTTGTCGCTGTCCCTTTGGGATACATATTCTTTGTGAGGGCAACGGAGTTTCGGGCAGCTTGGGGACGATGCTGCATGCCCAGCAAATGCCCAATTGCCTAGTACTGTCAGTTGGCCAGGGGTTGGGACCCATTCCGTACACCTCAGCATGCCCGCCAACACATCAAAGAAGCTCCTGTTTCCACAACAATTGTTACTGTAAGAAGAGATACATCCACTGCCCCAAAGCCACCCCTGAAATGCACTAATTACCCTTTTTATGCTAAAAGACTCACAGTTTAGATACGCGGATGTTCTCTCACTTTTGCCTTTGCTGTTCTGGTGTTATCTTCTGCAGGTGCTGTGCAATGGTCAGGTCTTGAGTGACGCAGCCTGCATCGGAAAAGAATTTTCTCATCTAGTAAGAGGCGAGACAAAGGTGTGATTGACCTTTTGGATCAACCCCACAGGGAATGGTCTCTCTGGGAGGGCTTATGTGATGTTCTCAGGCATTTCACAGGAGACACAGGTGTATCAGAACCAAAATTGTGCATTACTGTTGTGGACTGGTCATGACTGGAGATATGGTCAAAACAATAGTCCTGGCATGCACAAAATGGAGAGGAAACACAAATTATTACTTCACTGATTGCAGCACAGCTGCTGGTAGACTGTTGCCAATCATTGGCCAATCAAAGTGAACAGCAGCCAAGCAATGGCACATTATGTGTTAGCATTAGGTACCTGTTAGGACCACAGTGGCATGCTGTACTGCGATGCACAGCTCCTTACTGACCAATAGCCCAAAAGCTTGCATTTTTTGCTGTATCAAAGCAATGCCCTTTGGCAGAATGGCGGTGTTAGTTGTGTCTCACCAACCAGGGCAGTGTTGAGGACGCTAACATTGATAGTCACTACGTTGTAAGGGCCTGGGAATGTGGCAAAATCTGGCAACATTGCAGTAAATAGACTTGCAGAAATTCCCTTAATTCCACTATGCTGTCCAATCGTGACTGGCATTCTTATTTTGTATCCTGGATTTTTCTCTGTGACAGATTTAGCAAGCATTGTCAGGACCATCGTCAGCATCGTCGGTCCTTGTGGGCTACCAGCAAGCAGAGCGCAGTCCAATTGTCTCAATACTATAATTGCATGTGTCATCACTGGGGTATCATTTCATGTTGCCTGGTACGCTTATCATTCCCTGTGATCGTCTTGACTTGCTATTCAGCATAGAGTTGGATAACATTTTCCTTGTACGGTGCAAACACCATCTATCATTGTTCATCAGTATTGTATTCTAATGTGTGCAGTTTGTTGGGCGCGCAGTTTGTTGGGCGCTTCTTGTACCCAAACTCCTGGACAACTGCGCTTGATGGAGTGCTGAGACTGGTATGCCAGGCATTTGCCTGCCACTTGTGCACATGTGTTTGTGTTGACATTTTGTCAGCAAAATGCAGATGTCTGGCCCTATTCTTTCAGTAGTGTTTGTTCAAGGGATGTTCCTGCTTGGATTGGCGGTGGGATTTCCACACTTGTTGGGGACCTGGGTGGATCATTTTTGAGCAAACACTGTTTGGTTTGACAGGAAGTACCTCATTGCTCCAATATGCTTCTTTGGTTAAAGGGGTATGCATGTACTTGAACACATAATTGTCACAACTGGGCATGTCAATGCATGCTTGATTGCGTGTTTCGCTTGGGGTGTTGCTTGTCGAGTGGTTCTTTGCCTTTTATTGGGATGTACTTGTTGTCAAGTGAACAAACCAGCACCAACAGCTTGAAGTCAGAATAGCCTTGCCTGGGTGGCTATTTTGACTTCCACTTGCTGCATTTCTGCAAAACAATCCAGTGCGACCTATGGATCAGATTCTTGGCTGCAAAATCGATTTGTTGTCTGCATCAGGATCTGGACACATCCTGGGGCCCACTACATGCACTACAGCTGGAGACAAGCAAGTGGTGGCTGGGGGCACTGGTGTTCCTCATTCTGCTTCTCAGCCTGCTTAATCACTAGCACAATATTTTCCCTCACAATCCATGGCCCGCTACGATAGGCGTTTTCTGCAAGTCTGGTGAAGGCAGCAAAACAAATTGGAGTGTGTTGTTTGCAACTGGCTGATCAGTGGGCGTACTGTACTCCTTGTGTAACGATCGAACTGTCCGTTTCTTGGGTCTGTGCTGTCGAGTTGCGGGATGGCAAGCTTTGGGTCAAGGTCATTCTCAGCACTGTGGGCAAGCATGCCACCAGGCCCCCATCTTCTGTGGCTTCAGCGATCGCTGTGGAGCACGACAGCTGCGGTGTGCACCAGCCAGCCCTGCGGAGTTGTTGTGATGCAGAGAGCTGCAACCATGGGCCCATCAAAACAGCCAAACGCTGCTGCCCGCTCAGGCCTGCAGGACCAACTTTCAGCCTATAGACAGAACCTGTGCAAATCTCGCAGTTGTGGATCTCTGGATGTAATGCAGTCAAGATTCGACCCATTTACCAACAGAGCTGGAAGTTCGTTCCACTCCTCTGGCTGTAGGGGCATCACGAACGCTGTGGAATTTCTAGATTCCCTTACAAACTATGAACACACAGGTGTTCCAGCTGATGCAGGAACAGGAGGGTCTGATGGCTTTCCACTGGACCGGGTGAGGGCCCTTTTGTCTCGAATGGGTGACCCACATCTCAAATTGAAATTTGTGCACATTACGGGCAGCAAAGGGAAAGGGACTGTGGCCCATTTTATTGCTTCAGTGCTGAAGGAATCTGGGCTGGCAGTGGGGTTGTACACAAGCCCCCATGTGGTGTCTGTTGAGGAGAGGATCTGCATGGATGGGGAAGCCATCAAGGCAAACGAGCTCAACGACCTGGTTGCACAGAACAGGTGCATCCCCGAAACCTTTCCTGGTTGCCCATTTGGTTGTGTGGTACATAGACGCCCTCAAGAGTATGTAGAGATGTCCAGACAGTCTAGCACAAGCGATGTCTCTTTGAAATTTGTGGGCTGCCTGCCTGCCCAGTGTTGGATGAGAATAGGGAATCTATTTCAAGGATGGTGGCTGCGTTTGTGGCAGATTTCCATGCGAAATTTTTTTAAGGTGTTGTTGAACTTCCATGTGGTCCTGGGGAACAGGGATTTTAGAAGACACCCTGGTGTTTTGCAAAGTGCAGATAAATGCATCAGTTTTGTGGCCATTGTAGCTCTTTGTCCCCCCTCCATTAAGATCATGCCAACTGCACAGCTGCAACAGGCTTGCAGCAGTAAGGGTTTGACATATCTGTGCCTGTTCCTTTCTTTAGCTCGTAGATCCTTGCCGCACATCCGCTGGTGACAGCCAGCATGCCCTTTTGCAATTGCACATGCGATTTCCATGATATTGCCCATTTGGCACAGCAGCGATTCTGCATATACCTCAAGCTTGTGACCTGTGTCTAGCACCAAGGGGCTCCAGTTGTTGCTATCGAATCTTGACAACAGAGGAGTGAATAATAAAATGTCTTCAAAGAAACCAGAATGATTGCGCTGAAAAAAAAATATGTGTGGTTCAGATTGTGCTGTGATAGCCAGTTCGATACCTTGTTGTGCACTTGCTGCATGTGTATGCTGATGCACTTGGCGACATCTGCAGTACCATTCACAGTATGGAAAAGAGTCCCATAGATTTCTTTTCACAAGGGTTATGCTCATGGTATAAAGTGCTTGCCTCTCTTGTCAAACCAACATCAGCGATGCCTATTTACTCACTGCTTTATTGGATGACCATGTTCTGGTGTGCAGATCTGCCATTGAGGCTTGCCAGGCCTCAGAGAAGGGTCGACTCACGTACTTCGAGGTGCTTACTGCACTGGCTTTCAAGCACTTTGTCGATCGTCAGGCTGACATCGTTGTCACGGAGGTGGGCTTGGGAGGCACCACCGATGCCACCAATGTGATTGAGGCCAATGGGCTGGTGGCAGCTGTCTTAACCCCCATTGACAGTGAACATCTGCAGGCTCTGGGTGGCACCATCGAGTCTGTAGCTGGGGCAAAGGCAGGCATAATGAAAGCTGGCCGCCCAGCTGTGCTTGCAGAGCAGCCAAATCCAGATGTGTTGCGAGTTCTGGAGGCAAGGTGCGGTGCCAGTGTGTTTGCCAGATGTTTGCAATCGACCTGATGCGCCTTTGCCAACATGTGTCAATTGTGCCGTTGCACCAATCAGGATCTGTCAGGAGCTATTCTGGCTGTTGTGGTAGATTGATGTGATTTTCATGTTGCTCTGCACGGAATGTAAGGAATACCAGCTCCGTACGGTATGTCAAGTACGATCTTGCCTGCATTGTGGAACTTTTGTTTCTTTTGGTGTACCCTATGACAATTGAACGGCACCACAAACTGCAACAAATGAAAATGTGCAGGCATAGGCTGAACGTGGATGGCAAAGGGGAAATCGGGGTTTCCGCATGAAGGGAACTGGATGCTTGTGGGGACCAATGTGCGAGCTCCTACTGTTTTTTAATTGTCATGATGCAAGGTTCTTTTGCTGTCGTTTGCATCCTGCTGTGCATTTTAACAACCTCATCAGCAACAGTATGTCACGCCATTGGCATCACCTCTCCTGAGGAAGCTGTTTTGAGTGTTGTCCAAGTGCAGCAAGGCTAGCAACAATGGGAAGCATAGAAGACAAGGAAACCTACACCCATCAAACCAGTGTGTGGAGCTGTGAAGTCTGATATTGGATGCTTGCAATGTGCAGGGCTGCAGAACTGGGATGCAAGATCACTCATGCAAAGAGGGATGTGGCTGTCAGGCGCACGCCACCCTCTTCTTCCCACAGCACATCACCGTCCATTGACGTTGATTTCAATGGTGTGAAGGTCGCCAATGTTGCCCTTCGCATGAAGGGCGCCCATCAGGACTCCAACGTTGCAACTGCATTATGTAGGCCAGTCCTTTCAAGACTTCATTGCTATGCATCACAGCAGTGTGTCCAGCATAATGGTTCGCCATGAGAGTATTGTGTTCTTTTGTTTTTGTCACTGTGCTGAAACACAACAGGTTGGAAATCCCAACTTAGAATTTGTGTGATATTTGCAAACCACTGGCCTTGCCAGTGCCGTTGGCCAGTTTGGGCCACAACCAGGCCTACAGAGCATATGGGCCATCGGACATTCAGGTCAGTAGATTGATAGAGCCAGAGCGTGTGTTGACTCTTGAAGTCAACAGTCTCCCATTGTGGCCATTGTGAACACACACGCACACCGGGGCATGGGAGCTGAATATCCTTGGAAACACAAGGAGGAACAGGACATACAGTTGGGATCGATGCCTTGTTAGCACAAACATTGGTGAGGTTCTTTTCCAGTCTTTGACTGGAGATTCAGAAGCCTCGTGCAACAGGAAAGCACATGGGAAAGAGCAATCCATAGGATTAGCTGGCAAAAGACATGGGTTTGTTTCCTTTCAGGGGGGACCATACGTGGTTGTGGGAGTCATTTGGTGACGTTGTGTGTTGTGTGGAATGGCTTCTCCAGGTGCAGTGGATGAAGTTTGGCAATTTCTGCAAGGTGGAGGATCTGTATCTTTGGACGATCATGTGTTGAAGGATGCCACAAGGAAGGGACTGGAGGCAGTGCAGCTGCCAGGACGGTTCCAGGTACAGAGGCTGTTGGCAAGTGGCAATTGGAGTGTTCTTATCTGCCAACATCATGATGGAAGCACCCTCGTGCTGTCAATCACTGTCTAGCTGGTATCAGCATGCAATGGTGCAGGCATCTTGTTAGGTTGCCCCCATTTCCTATTTTGTTCTGGCTGTCCAGTTATTGTGTGTGCCACCCTGGCTTAAGTTGCTTGATTTGTCTACCACTTAGAGTTGTTTGCACATATGTGCCAAGCAGCATGCCAGCATTGGTCATCTGCAACAGTGTCCACAAGTCTTATTGTGGATCGATTGTGGAGTCCATTGTCTTGAAGGTGTGACCGCTGCATCCTGTGAATCGTTCCAATACCAACAAGATAGCCATGACCTGCCCGACGCCATTGAAATTGGTGGAAACTGCGATTGTCAAGCTTTGCAGTGTTTTACCTTTTGGCTTTTGCAGTGCCTTTGTGGCAAGTTTATCTTCTGTTCATTGGACTTCCATACAACAACAGCTATGTTTTCGTATTGCACTTGCAATTGTTGGGCATTATTGTGAACTTTGCTTTCAAAGCCAGAGAGTATCTGTTGGCTGTGTTGGACTGTGTTGTGTTGCCTGGCTTGGAGCCAAGGGTCACTCACACTGCAGAATCGCTATCGAACCCATGAATGTATGTAAGGCTGCCACACTCCTCTGCACTGCACTTGACAGGATCAGGTTGACAGTTCATATTTAACGTTTGTTTCAATCTTGACTGGCATGCACTATCAACATCTCCTTGTTGAGGGCTATTTCTGGCATGCACTGCCTCCGTAGGTGGTTCAAGATCACCAAGATCTCGAAGCCCCCTGGGTGGTCCTTGATGGTGCACACACAGCAGCATCTGCAGCAGCCCTTGTTCACACGCTGCGATCGGAGTTCCCCAGCCAGCCGCTTGGCTTGATCGTGGCCATGGCTGCAGAAAAAGATCATGTAGGGGTCATCCGGCACCTGGTGCAGTTGCAGCCAGATATTGTGGTCTTCACAGCTGCACCCATCGGAGGCAGTTACGAGAGATCGGCTCCACCAGGTTAGCAACATCTTCCATATGCCTGCGGTGGTGATCCACTGGTAGAATGATGTTATTTTTCAACGTGTATGGACTACAACGTCAAATATTTCCAGCAATACGAACATGCATCATTATGAAAGTTGAGGCAAACGCTGAAGATATGCTGTCTCATTAGCCGCAGGTGTTGTCTGCAGTGATTGTTGCTATGATGTTTTGCACAGATTGTTGTATACACTGTCAGTCTGTTGTGCAACAGACCACCAAATACTGCAGTGTAGCGCTGGCTCCTGTGTGGATGCTAAACGGCTACTCCTTGTTGCCAGAAGCGCGGTGTGTGGACGAGGTTCTATACCTCCACCCGTGGTCACCCATCTATGTTCGGCCCCTTCAAAATCCTTCTTATAGCCACAATGTAATTGAATATCAGAGGCTTTCCTGCATTGGACAGTTACTGTAGGTGGCAGCGCTTTGACACGTGGAAGTCTGCATTAATTCGTTATTCAGAATGTGGCAATCATGCTGATGTGTGAAAGCGGACGATGTCAGTATTGTGAAAGAAACAGCCAACAAGTGCCGCAGTGCACACGATAGCCTTTCGTGGTGGTGGCGTCATGCTAGGTCGGATTTCCACGCGCAGAACCGCGCCCACCTGGTCTGAAAACCGCAAACGAGGTGCTTTTGAGCTGCGCAAGGAATGAGTTGCAATCCGCTTTTGCTTCTGGATTGTGGGCGAAGTGGGCTTCAACCCCTTCTGGCACTGGGCGCGCTTGGTCCTGCTTATTTGTCCAATCAAGTATCATGTTCTGATTTGGTAGACTATTGACTGCAGCCCAGCACTTTAAAGTTGCTGGACTATGGTCCACTGCCTGCTGGCCAGTGGCACAGGCACGAAAGATGTTGACGGCGATTTTTCTGGTGCATGATATCAATATATTTGCTTAGTAATGCTTAATAATGGTGCTCAATATATCTTCGCCGCGCCAGGCACCCTCGCGGGCACCTGGGACATTGCGGAGGGTGGCGTGTCGGGGCGCAGGAAGCGGAAGAGGAAGATGGTGCAGAACAGCGTTGGCAGCGCCCTGGCGAAGGCTCGGCACGAGCTGTGGGTCCGTAACGCGGTCATCTGCGTCACTGGTTCGTTTTACGCCGTTTCAGAAGCGATCAAGGTGCTGGAGACGTTGCCGGGCTGATCTGGAACGCACGCTGACGAACAGGGCAGTGCCGCCTTGGGTGAACATCTTGTTCTCGTGGACGGCTGGATGAACAACGATACTGTTTTGCTTGGGCCAGATGGGGAGCTGGTGCCTGGCTTCATGCCTCGATATGTAATGTTTCTTAGCTGGTTGATTGACGAAGAGAGAGCTTTCGTGGCACGTCTTGCCAGGCCAGTTGGACGGCAGGCGTCCCTGCCGCGAAAGTTGAAGGCCACCGGAGCACTGTGATGCGACAGGGGGGTGCGCTCGGCATTGCCCAGTCGGTGCACTCGTGGCATGGAAGCCACAGAACACCCTTCGTGCATTGATCCTTGGGTCGCATCCGTCCACAGCCGGCACAGCTCGCTGCCCTATAAAGTCTTGTCCAGATACGGCACTTTCAACGCCTCGCTGCCGTTCTTGCTCAAGCGATACATCTCAGCAACCCTGTCCGTGCGTCGACGTGGCGATGACGGGTGTGCACACTTTCTCCACAACATGCAGAAATTGGGATGGAGTGACAGCAACGTTGACAGCCCCTTGCTGCAACGAGTTTGTTGATGCACCACCTGTCAACGCCGCTGCAATGCATATGCACCTACATCTACCAAGCAACAGTGGCCGTAATTTTAAAGAATTTGTTGATTGGTGGGTGTTTAGAATTCACGCACCGTTAGGCTCAATGGCGTTAGGGGCAAAAATGCCGACGGAGCGTTGATGGGCAAGGCTTGCAGCAACACTGATAGGAAGCGGATTATCATTCATTCATTCGTTGCAACAAGGCCCATCAACGTTGCTGTAACTCCATCCCGATTTCTGGGTGAAAATATTATCCATTTTCTCACCACGGGCGCCACAAAGCCAAGGTTAGCGGCGCCAGCGGGAGCGAGGCTTTCCAGCAATCACACACAGCGGGCGGGCGTCCAAACGTCGCCTGGGGCCGTCCGCCGCGTTCCCAGCGCCAAAATTACCCCTTCCACCACAGTGCACAGCCACAGACCACCCTCCACTATCACCCCTTGGGGCCCGCCCAGCCCGCCCACTCCCGCCTCGGGCCGCGTTCGATGGCAACCCCTTAGTAACCCGACGCCGGGCCTCGGCACGTGCCCCGGGCCCTCCAATGACGTTCCTAGAAGTGCCTTCGGAGCCGCGGCGCCCCTTCCCCGCTCACCACCCATCCTTGGGTCACCATCCGCCTCCATCCATCCCCCTCAGCGCCGCCGCTGACTGACCCGTTTGCCTCGGGCCACCCGCCGCATGCCGGCGCCCCAAGCCGGCGAGCCGCCCGAGGCCAGGGGGGGCTTCTCACCGGAGGCCCTGCCGCGGCGTTTGGGCCTGCGGCCCGCTTTTGGCGCTTGTGACACTGAAACGGCGTCGCGTGGCCTTCGGAGGAAGCTGAGGCTGGGGAGGGTGCTGTGACTGGACTGCACTGAGGTGGGTGGATGCCCTCCGCTCTGGCACTGGAAGGGGGCGTGGGGGTTATGGCAGGGTTGGATTTGGGCGGGGGTAATTTGGGCGAGAAGGGCGTTGGCGTGTGTTGGCCCTAGTGGCTGGGGAAGCTTTTGGTGCGGCCACGGCGCCTCGAGAGCAGTGCTGGCGAGGCCTCCCCTTGCTGAGGTAGCGAGTGCCAGGACTGTGGCAGCTAAATAGAGGCTTGGGCAACGTTGTTGTTTGCATGAAGGGAAGCTGCAAAGTTTGCAGCTTTTCTCTTCTGAGAGGATAAAAGCTGCACTCTTTCAGGAAATAGTGGTGCAATCCGCTGCCGCGAAGTACTGAGCATTGTACCACTTTTCCCAAAGCAGGTGGGCGCGCCAACATAGGGAGCTGTTGTGTGACATCAAGTGATTGACCAAGCACAGCGCCTGAATGCCTGAAATGGGCTGCGCGCTGTGCATCGCACACAAGCCGAACATGTACCAATTTCGCATATTTTTTGGCAATGGGAATATTATGGAATAGGCAAAGTTTATTCTTCCCGTAATTTACCCATCACAGCAGCAAAAAGAACAATTGGGGTGTGCATGCCGGTCCAAATCCTCACCTTTGCTAGCATGCAAGGTGCACCGCGCTGTTGCCGGAGAATATACTACATGAATTCAGAACTAGCATTGAGCACAAGTGTCTCGTATAGTACTGCGGCCTCGCATCCAATTTCCGTGAAAACATACTGTTCGCCACTTGTCGGAAACCACACAACCTCTTGCAAAATTTGCGCTGACATTGAGCAGCGTCAATGAAATTTAATAGTGGCAAGCTTTGACAAGACTGAAAACCACTTGCGGGCGACACAAGAGACGTTCAAGCGTTCCCAATTTGTGTCGCCTCGATCATCCCTTTTTACCTTTTCTTTCCGTTTCTCACCAGTAACGTCGAGACAGGGCGCCATTCGCGCAATGTCCAAGAAGGATGGCGCCCCAGGAGACGACTTGTCTGCCGATGCCGACGACGGCACCATCAAATCCATGGTCACAGGCGACGAGGAGCAGACGGACGAGGACAAGTTCGCTTCATTTCCTGAGGCGCTGGTTTGCGACAATGGAACGGGATTCCTCAAGGCGGGCGCCGCCTGCCTGGAAGGCCCTGAGGTCAGCCAATGCTTTGCATTAAGAGTCGCTCAAACATTCGGCATTATTCAATTGAACTATGCTTATGGCTGTTATTGATTACATTGTGCTGACCTTACACTTAAATTTACAGACCACGTTACAGGCCTATGATAGATATCTTTTGTTTTAGGCACACAATTCAAGTGGATTACGAAAGTATGCTTGCCTTTGAGTTCCCTCCAAGCGCGCACACAATGTCTGCGTGCACTGAGTGTTGTGCCGATTCGCGCAGGTGGTCATGCCGCTGATAACCGGCGAGCCCCGATTTCGTCAGGTTATGTGCCAGTCCTCGGACCGCGTCTACGTTGGCGAGGCCGCCCGCCGAATGGGGAGCGTCCTGGCGCTGAAGAACCCGATGAAAAATGGCCAAATAGACGATTTTGAGCAGATGGAGAGGATATGGTTTGATGCCTTCTATTCCCAACTGCAGGTCGGGCGTCGCCGCATGGCGTGCATTAATGCAATATTGCACCTTAAGAGCCATTCAGCTGAGTTGTTGAAACGGAATTGGGCAACAGCTTTTCAAGGATTGACGGTGCATCGGCACAGCATTCCAGCAGCGACTGTGAAATTCATTTACTGCCTACCATGCAGTGATGAGTGTTGCTCATTAACCGCATAGAACAACAAAAAATTACTGTGCAGTTTACACATCAGCAAATACACTCAATCCAATTCTCTGAACCTCAGTTAATCTACCGCGACCCTCTTCAACAGCGTCGACACGAATCAATCTGAGAACTCAGATCTGAGTTAGTGGGCACTCTGAAGCCCACGCCACGGCCGCCCCAATTTGAAACCGAATATAAAACTTGACATTTGAAACTGCATCAGAGAAAGTGGCACAAGCTTTTACACCACTTAAAGCACATTTTGCAAAGTACACAGTTTTCAAATGCACATCATTACACGCATTATTAAACATACATTATCTGTGATCACGCTTAATAGCATACATTACGCAGTGCATTTAATACAATACTCGCAGCAACGTTAGATGCCTGGACATTGAATGTTTTTGAAACCAAACATTGGTTGCAATTTGGCTTTTAAGAGCACTTGCTGCGCATTTCCCCACATTTTTTCTGCTAAAAGGGTGTCCGCCGCCCGCCCCTCCAGGTGGACACCTCCTGCCGGCCCATGTTGGTCTCGGAACCCCCCCTCAACTCGCGGGCCTCCCGCGAGAAAGTCGCCGCCATCATGTTCGAGCAGTTCAACCTGCCCGCCCTGGCCATCTGCACGGACGCCGTCCTGGCCCTGTACGCCCACGGCCGGACCACGGGGTTAGTCATCGACTGCGGCCATGCCATCTCGCACACGGCCTGCGTGTACAACGGCAGCGTGCTGACGTCATCCGCGCGGCGGCTGATGTACGGCGGGGATGACGTCACGCGCCACCTGGCGCGGCTGCTGATGGTGGAGCGGGGGCACCGGTTCGAGAGCGCGTCGGAGATGGAGAGCGTGCGGGCCATGAAGGAGGCGCGGGGCAGCGTGGCGACGGTGGGTGCGGATGGTGATTAGCCTGTAAATTCATAGACATTGATTGTGTTAGATGTATGTATGATGATTATTGTGTAAATTCACAGACCTTGATTATTCTGTAAATTCATAAACCGTGATTGCACTAGATTTCAGTGGACTGATGATAGGCACTGCTTTGTTCGGGCAAAATAGGAAGCTGACGGCTACCTCATTGCCTTTTCTTGCAAAATTACGATGATGGTGATGAATAGTCCGTATGCCTATTAGTCATATGATGTCTGATGACAATGAAATTTAATTAGTTGCGTGTCAGCCGCAGAGGACCATGTCCTCACCCAACAGCACAAGAACATTATGTCCAGTGTTTGTCCCAGTGTTCATCTCGCTCATACACCGACGGTCCGCCCCGGCATTGAGGAACGCAAATCATCCAAAATATAACCCACTCTGCTGCATCTCACCCAGAACTATCCCGCCCGCCTCATCGCCCCGAATGTGCACCCCATCATCCTGGAAGCTTGGACCCACTGCCGATTAGTCATGATTACATCGTTACATTTCACTTTTGCGTAGTTGTATGTTGTTTCAAGAGTTGCACATGTTGAAACCATCCTTTTAAGTGGTTTCTCATTCCATTTCTAAGTCTATTTAAATGGTTGCTATTGCGCTGTGGTGGAAGCCTTGATTCAAATTTCCTCTCACTCCTATCGGAATTTCCGAGCGAAACGTGTGTTGGTTTTAGTGCTGTCGGCATGGTGACTGATGTTTTTATCCGAGACAGCATCTATGTTTCTGTGGCCGAATCCGCAATGCTTAATTGGTGTATTTGATGTATGGCGGTACGCTTCAGGCACAGAGGCATAAATTTAGATGAAATTTGATTGAAATTGAAGTGTGTATGATGGAGAACAATGTGCCAAAGTCATAGACAACACCTTTTGTGGAAGAGGGGAGGTAATGCTATTAATCCCTATTGAGATTTGAGATAAGGCGACGTGTTGCTCAGCACATCTAACGAGCTCAACTCTCTCACAGTATGTTTCGATGCTTTGGACCTCAATGGTAGCCACCATCAATGCCAATTCACTTTGCGCCGATAAGCGCTCATGAAATGCCGCGTTTTTTTTGTGCACCTCCAAATCACGCACCCACGACCGAGCCCCTGTGTCCTCTCGATAGCAATGTGAACAGCACCGCGCTGTGCTTGCGAAAAAATGAAGAAAACGAAAAGAGAAAATGAAAATGAAAGGAGAAAAAGGACTGAATGCCGCGTGCACTGCACCCGCAGGAGGACGCCAGCGACCTCGACGGCGCCCAGCCGGACGACGAATCCCCAGAAGGCGCCGCTGAAGCGTACAGCCTGCCGGACGGCCAGCTGGTGGTTCCGGGTGCGGAAACGCGGCGCTGCTCCGAGGCCCTCTTCCACCCCCACCTCCTGGGGATCGACAACCCCGGCCTCAGCGAGGCCGCCCTCTCCTCCGTCCTCAAGTGCCCCGAGGAGCTGCAGGACGAGATGTTCGGCTCTGTGGCGGTGTCTGGCGGGCCCGCACGGGCGCCAGGCTTTAGGGAACGGATGCAAAACGACCTGAGGTCCATGGCGGCGGGGCGGGGGAAGGGCGTGAGGCTGTTGCCGGGGCTGGGGAGGGGGGACCCGGGGGAGGCGGTGTGGGTGGGCGGGGCCGTGGTG